ATTCAGCAATTTTGACATGTGCAAATCATATCACTCGGACAGAATAGCAAAGTACTTTCCACTCCATGAAAAGTTAAAGGAATAACCACTGGTTTCTGCTACAGGAACAGGACACACTGAAAAGGGAGGGCTCCGAGGCAGCTACTGCCCATTTGTAGCTCTCTGAACTGAAAAGCCATCTCAGTGAAGCCAGCTCCAGCTTAAAATTGCAAATCTGCTCCCTAGATTTCAGGGGTACAAACGTGTTTGAGTTGCCTGTTCAAACCCTGGCATTAACTTGTTTCTGTTCTTACCAGTTTAAAGCAAGAGCTACTGGATTCCCAGTATCTCCCAGGAAGAAGTATGCATCCTCTCCTTCAACCCCTACTGCTGTAGAAACCATTCATTCTTTACGTTGACTTTTCCACATGCTATTCCCTCAAAAGCCTAGTTATAAACCCTAAAAAATTGCACTTAGTAACAGCTAATGCCAAAATACTTTGTAATCAACACCAGGCAACACTGAGCAACTGGGATAAGTCGTACCAAGCACAGATGTGTACACAGCATTCCTCCTGTTTATACTGATACTTATAAATATATACACACACGCACAGAGTCAACACAAACTTGACTACTGATATAAATACAAAAATATTTAAAGGTTCTTCATCCGGACGAAGAAGCAAACTGAGGTGTGATTGCTGTTTGCTCCCTTCCATCGAAATAGGCACCTGGCTCCTGAGAATTCTGTGCATGCACAGCAGAGCAGATCTTGGTGCCCTGAAAAGGTTATTTAAATAGAAGCCAGTGCTGGGTTATCAATCTCTTGAGTTTTCCATAACCTGGACTGAGAAACCAGTTACTCCAAGTACATGTAAGTTACTAACAGTACACACACTACCTTTTAACACCTTCTAACAACAGAGGACAGCTTTCTCAAATACCTGCTTTCAACAGCCACTTGCCCTTGACTAAAGGCAAGTGAAATCCTTCTTTGCTGAAGAAAGTTCAGCCAAGTGATCGGAAGTTCTCCCTTTTGGCTTCAAAGTCTGATGGAAAGGCTCACTCCACCCTCTGAAACTCGGGTTCAGTTGGCAGCCTCACTGGAGGCCCTGCAGAACCACAGACTCTCCTCTTCCACCCTCGCCCACTCGCCAGCGTCACAAACGGGAAGGCACAGGGCAGCCTCAAACCACCAATTAGGTCTTTTCAAGCTTGGGCCACTGAGCCAAACGGCAGCACCGCTAAATTACCGCGTGGTTACGCTCCACGAGCCAACGCTGCTTGGCTCCCAACAGGACCGGCAACGCGCAGTCCTTCGGAGTCAGAGCAGCAGGAGTGCAGTACTGCAGGTTTGCGTTAATTTTTCAGACGAGCCAGCGTGAGCCAGGTCCGAGCCCGCCGCGTTCTGCAGAGCAAGGAAGGAGCGTGCGTGGTGCGTGCAGCCCCGCCGCCGGGCCGTTCCGCAGGCAGGTTCCCTGCTGATCACCCCAGGGCACTGCTGCCCGGACCGGCAGGACTCAGCAAGCTACAGCAGCAGCTTGTTTGAGGACATGGATCTTCCTACTTGCAAGTTTTAATCAGGACCTTCCCTCCAACAAAGCCAGTAAGATTCGGGGTCTGCTTTCTTACCTGTCTGGAAAAAAGCCCCAGTGCACCAGCACCTGCTTGTCTTTTTTCATCACAGGTCTCAGCCATTCATCTGCAAAGAGAAAGAGCTCTAGCATCACACCCAGCTCGTAAAACACAGCAAACACTGTATCTGCTTTTCCAGTCACAGCGAGGTTACTGCAGCCACCTCGGACGAAAGCCCGCTGCAGGGCCTGGCCTGCCACAGCGACGCCTCGGCCACGTCCAAGCATGCCGGGGCTCTGCCTGCGTGCGACACCGATGTCACGTCAGTGAAGACACTTTAATGCTAAGAATTATTACGTTCCCTTTCCTGCCACGTCCATTCACACCCCAACACACTGCAGACTAAGGTCCAAAGAGGCTTGAAACAGTCATCTCTCTGCCAATGGAGCACGAGGCGTTTCTGGCTGGCGGGGGGAAGCACTATCCTCTGCCACCTCCTCTCGTCCCGTCTCATCGCCCAAACTCCTCGGCCGGTTGGGCCTGGACCTCAGAACAGCACCGAGCAAATCCTCCGAGAGGACATTCGGTAAAGACAGCAGAAACAACATGGAGAGACAGACACACGCTCCAGTCTGCCACTTCTTTAATCTCTGTATAAACAAAAAGACTAAACTCCTCCCAAAACGCCTTCCTGTCAAGTGGTAAATGTTTCCCCTCGTCTTTTTGTAGCCTTGTTAGACACCTGAATCCCCTCATTAACGTCTTCTATTGATTATATTTATTTCAAAAGTACTAACTCTACTCTCAACAGGTATTTAAAAGAACAACAGAGTTTTGAAGGAAGAACGTCAGGGCAGGGTATGGTGGTGAAATAGTTTTAATAAAAAACTTCCAAGAGTCCAACAACACTTGGATTTCAACTCCCTTCTTCCACAGCAGTGCTAATAATGACTTCCAGTTCACACAGACTTACTGAGCAACACTAGCCCTTTGTTGACTTTGCAGCAAGGCCTGTGCTCAGTCCGACCTGAGCTTTAAAGGTTTTTTTTCTTTTAAACTGCACATCTGACACGATGTAATAACCTACCCCCTGCGACCCAAATATTGACAATATGGCCCAGAGCAGCATCAAGAGAGAAACCCTGAGGATCTGAGCCTGTGTCGAGTTACCCTGCTGGAATCCACGGCTGATTCCTCAGCATAACCAGGAGTTAAGAGCGCTCTCTAGCACATCTACATGGTCACTGACTACACGACAGCTGGGATCTACCACGCTTGGCCCTTTTCTGAGAACCTGAAGCGGTTAAAAACAAATAGAAACCCGTGGCTACACGTGATATGACCAGAGGTAGAGAACACAGGCAGCACCAGAGGACAGTCCACCCGCGGCCGTTCCCACACAGCAGTGAACACTTCCCTCTAGCGGCCACCAGCGCCAGGAAAAGCTCACTTGTCAGTGAAGCTCAGGCTCGACAACGAGGCACTACACAACTACACGTATTTAAGACAGTAAGATCAAGAAGTGGGGTTTTTTGCTATTTGCTGAAGGTTACAGCTGTTAAATTGCTTTTGTGGAACTATTTACCTCACGGAGAGGCAGACTGTGCTACAATAAAGCCACCAATCTCTATTTCCACGTCTACTTGCTGTTGTGTCCACCTGGCCAAGCCACAGGCAGTGGTATGTGTCAGCATTCCCAACCCCTCACCGGGAAAGGTGAGAGCAGGGCACACAGTCCTTCGATTCTCGTTTACTTTAGCATCCATCTACCTTTCACACACCTGCTTGATTCCATTCTGACCTACGCTCACACAATGGGGCACACCTCAGAAGCAACAAAAGACAGACGTAATTAACGGAAACATTAAGCCCCCTACTTTCACGATCCTTCTCTTTTGATTTTTAAACTAAGTTAATTTCTTTAAGTCCTTCCAGACCCTCAGCTTCGCTCCCCTTCGGCCTGCAAGTTCTCTGGGGCAAACAAAACATCGGGCTGCATTCAGCAATAACCAATATCTCCATTTCCAAGCAATCACTGAAGAGCAGTCAGCGTTACGCACCTTTAGCTGAAAAGGCTGCACCAATTAAACACGTGACTGTTACACCCAATAGTTAGAAGCAGGACATGACAATTTTATTTGGAGTTGGTAACCCTAGAAACG